GTGCAAAGGTCTCTTTTGCCGATATACTTTCACAGACTATTTGATACTTGTATATACTCAGAAAACCAGCAGTAAATAATCAACGAACGGATATAATAATAATAATAATAATATATTGAAACAGAAAACTGAGGCACCTCCAATTGATAGAGGTCTGTTGTTAAGGTAAATTACACAAGAGTCAGTCTACAAGAACGGCGAGACAATCCCCGGCAAACAGAGACCCACAAAGTAAACGTTTCAGCGATTCATTAACTTTTAACTTTATCACAGGAAAAAAAAACACTTGAAAAATGTCTGAGAACACACAACACCACCAGATTTTTTCAACTCGAGTCATAAGAATCTTTGGATACAACATGAAGCATTTGCAAAATTTGGTGACTAGATGAATTATCAAAATGGACGGAAAGTCAGGCTCATGTGCAAGATGCCCTAAGCAATCAACATAAATCAAAATAAATTAAAATAAAAAAACAACAATTAACATAATTACCACAGAGAAAATTAAACCAAACAAATACTTAAACAAAAATAACAAAGTAAATCATTCAGATTGCAGAAAGAAAAAAAAATACTTGTCCCATCCCATCAAAAACGTTTTTTCCAAATGTTCTGTTTTTATAAATTGTCATATCTTTTGGACATTAAGTATAATAAACCATTTCAAAATCTAAAATTTTTCAACTGCCTTTTGTGAATGTCAGAAGCTATCCCCCAAAGTGCTATACTTGAATAACTGACACACAATAATGTCAATGGACAATTTGATGACCTTGACTTAAAGGCAGAGGAACAATCTTCATAGATGACTTACACAAAACTCAAAGCAATCAATAGTGAAAACTAAACAAATATTTCTTTAAACCAGTCAAATTTACCCTGTTCATCCAAAGAAAGCAAACAAAAACAAAACAAAGAAAAAAACCACTATCTTCTTGTTTGATACCTGCAAAACTTAAACTAGAAATTGGACATCGCCTTCAAACAAGAGAGACACATAGAGTTAGATCAAACAATTTTGCCAATAGAGGTTTAGAAAACAAGTTGGTTTGTAACTTAGTTCAACAAAGCAGGCTAGTACACTGTAATGTAGTTGGAATGCAGAACATCGGGTCGATTGACAAAAACACACTCATGAAGATCGTTGGCCGGTCATCTCTATGTCTACAAAGTGGACGTCATGTGGCTTTCCTCGAAGTCCTGCTCAGAGAAGACAAAGACAGGGTAAAACCGGATTAGAGAATTGGAGAATTTTCCAATTGCACAGAGAAGAGAAAGGACACGGTAAAACCGGATTACGGAATCTTTCCAATCGCACAGAGAAGAGAAAGGTTTGGTAAAACCAGATTACTGATTTTTTCCGATCACATTATTTCTGAGTACATCTTAGAATACTAATACTAATAATTATTGCAATAAATCTTCAGTACAAAATAAATTAAGGCTACTTTGTGCTTTCAGCACTTAAAATTTCCAGCATCTGAATAACTTGTACAGAGACTATAGCAGAGCTGTGTGGATCAGTAAGGGCTATAACATGACAACAATGCTCATCAGATCTCACATTAATTAACATTTCTCAGAGCATTATAATTTTGATTTTAGTTTAGTAGAGGGTTTACGGCGCTCGCAACTGCATAAGGTCATATGAGCGCCAGAAGATTAGAGGTGTTACAAGAGAGTAACAAACATAAAAAAGAAGAAGGGGAGATAAGGACAATAGATGTTTCACAGGAAAGAAGAGGCAAACCACACCAGAGCACCCGCCAACCACCCACAAGCATTATTTGCTTTAGCTCACATTACCAGACAACACACAACAT